GGAACAGTCTCCCCCAGTGATGAGCCATGGGACAACTGTGTGCCCACTGTAGAAAACAAGGAAATTGGACCCCCTACCTCATACTATTTGCAAAAATCTTCACTAAGTGGGTTGTAGACACAAATGTTAAAGGCAAAATCATAAAAGCGCTTAGAAGATAAGATAGTGGTTTATCCCACTTCTGGGCATACACACCAAGGAAACCAGATCTGAAAGAGACACGTGCACCCCAATGTTCATCGCAGCACTGTTTATAATAGCCAGGACATGGAAGCAACCTAGATGCCCATCAGCAGATGAATGGATGAGGAAGCTGTGGTACATATACACCATGGAATATTACTCAGCCATTGAAAAGAACTCATTTGAATCAGTTCTAATGAGATGGATGAAACTGGAGCCCATTATACAGAGCGAAGTAAGCCAGAAAGATAAAGACCATTACAGTATACTAACACATATATATGGACTTTAGAAAGATGATAACGATAACCCTATATGCAAAACAGAAAAAGGGACTCAGATGTATAGAACAGACTTGTGGACTCTGGGAGAAGGCGAGGGTGGGATGTTTCAAAAGAACAGCACTGAAACATGTATATTATCTAGGTGAAACATGTATATTATCTAGGGCAGATAACCTGCCCAGGTTGGGTACATGAGACAAGTGCTCGGGCCTGGTGCACTGGGAAGACCCAGAGGGATCGGGTGGAGAGGGAGGTGGGAGGGGGGACTGGGATGGGGAATACATGTAAATCCATGGCTAATTCATTTCAATGTATAACAAAAACTACTGTAATGATGTAAAGTAATTAGCCTCCAACTAATTAAAAAAATAAATAAATAAATAAAATGAGGATAAAAAAAATAAATAAAAAATAAATAAAAGAGAAAAAAAAATAAAAAATCCAAGTCAAAAAAAAAAAAAGATAGTGGTTTATCTCCATGATCTAAGGTTAGGAAAACTTTTCTCGCCTTTTTTTAAATTCAAAAACCAAATTGGTTTTATTAGGTGATTCATGAATCAGGCAGCATCCCATCCAACAACTGGAAGGGCCCCCAGGAAAGAATTTCTCAAATACAATACAGAAAGCATTAACTGAAAAAGAAAAAAATAGACAAAACTGATGTTAAAATCAAGAATTTCTTGTTCATAAAAAGATACCATAAAGAAAATGAAAAGATGGGCACAGAAGAAGAATGTACTTGCAACAGCCATAACTAGCAAATGGTTAAAATCCAGAATACACAACAAATAAACAAGAAAAAGACATCCAAGAGGAAAATGAACAAGACACTGAACACAAAAGAAGAAATCCATACTAACAATCCTATGAAAAGAAACACTTAAAAGTAGTCAGAGAAAAGATGAATTAAAACCACAATGAAAAATAAAACATCAGATTGTCAAAACTTAAAAATTTCAACAATATCAAACGGTGGAGAGAATGCAGAGTAAGTAAAATTCTCATAGGATGCTGGTGGGAGTGTAAACTGGTATAGTCTAGTAAAATTAAAGATACACTACCCTATAACCTAGCGATTCTACTTCTAAGTTAAGTCTTAGTGAAATTCATGCATACATGCACCAGTATAAAAGCCAAAAACTGAAAACAACTGATATATCCAACAGAGCAATGGTAAATAACCAGCAATATAATCATATATTGGGATTCTATGCAACAATTAAAATTAACTACAGCTCTAGTGATAACAAAGACAAATCTCACAAACCTAAAGCTGATTTTCAAAGAGGTAAGACACAAAATACACTCGCACACACAAAACTAAAGTTATGATGCTTAGTTATACACTGCTAGATAGTAAACTATAAGGAAAGCAAAGAAATGAATAACTTACAGACAGGATAGTGGTTTCCTTTAGTGGGAGAGCAGAATAAATTCAGAAAGGAGGTGAAAAGGATTCTGGCATACTGGCAGAATTCCTTTACTCTGATGGTTGTTAATACTGAGTTCACTTTATTACTGTTCGCTAAATGTACATATATGTGTTGTATGTTTCAATATAATGATTATATGTTTCACTATTTTTTAAAAAGGCGCATGCCCATCAGGATCATAAAATGAATCACTTTTCATCCAGCACAAGTCAGTAGCCCAGCTTCAATTCAACGGATCATTTTATGGCATTCTTTCTTTTTTTCTGTTAAAAGCAACAGAAATCCAAACATAAAAAATGTGAGGGATATTACATATCTTCATTTATATGTCAAATAATACTATTTAAAAAAAGAGAAAATAAATTTAAAATTGGGAAGATATTTCAAGCAAGAAAGTAACTGTTACAGAGCTGTGTAGTGCAAGACTAAAGAAATAATACAGCTATATGATGAAAAAACTGTTTCAAACAAACTAAATACACAAGACAATTGCCTATTTAGAAATTAATCTTTGTAAACAGTTATAATCAAATGATAGTTGGAATCAACTTCAGAAACAGCTTTATAGTGCACACTATACATACTATTGTAAGGTTTGATTGCTTTTTCTCCTACACAGAAGGAAGTTTATAAATTTAAATTTCCTAGGGAATCTTGGACAGTAAAAGAGGTTAGGAAAAAGACATAACAGGTGAGATAAGTTTAAATTTTAAATTTTGTTTTAAAAAGCTCACAGCTTACTCCTTGGAAGTATAAAATAGTGAGACAAAAAAGAAAAGATGCAAAGAATTCCCATTCTTCAAATATCACACTAAAATATACACCAAACCCACAAAAAGTATCCTTGACACAGTCTTACAGTGTTAAACTACATGGTGTAAGGCTCTTATTTTTCAGAAAATTTTCAATAGGTATCTCACTATAGGAAGACATACTCACTTTGCAGGTGAATGAAAGAATTAAATCAAAGTATTAGCATGTCAAGATAATCTGCCTGTGCCAGAAAATGGTTTTACTATCTTCCTAGGTCCCTTTTCCTGTCCCATCCCATATTTCGTTTTCAAGCTCTAAATATAATGACAGTAATTTTCTGCCATTTCCTGAGCCCTTTTTTGTGTCTTACATTTATTATCTCCTTTAATTCTCACATACTGAGGAGTAGGTTTTACTGATGAGAAAAATGAGACATGGAATGATTAAGTAACTTACCCAACATCAGAGGTTGCTATTGAGGGAGCCAAGATACAGTCCTACTCCAGAGCCAGTGTCTTAATACTACACTGTTTCTATTCAATAAAACATTTATACCATGAAAACTGCCCATAATCACCTACTGCCTTCTAACTACCAGATCCCAGATGCCTTGAGGATTTATTACTGCCTTTCCTAGATAACTGCATACTCACGCAACATTAATGGGTAAAGGAATCTAAACATTTAGGAAATCTATGATTTTCCAGCTATGAAAAAGGAGGTCCAGAGACATTAAGTGTCCTGTCCACGACCTCAAAGCTCATTTGTGACAACCAGCAATAAAGCACAATTCTTAACTCCCAGAAGGATCTCCCCACTGCACTAAAAGCCCTGTCGACCACACATCTATACTGTAAGCTCTTGTTGAAATCCATACCCTCTACATTAGGCACTGAAGTTTACTCAGTCAACTTTCACAGCACACAAGAGCATCAACAGCACTCACAAGCAGGTAACACACATTCTTTCATTTCAACAAATACAAAGAGAAATGCACTATGTGTGAAGGCAATAGAATTAAGCCAAATGTATATCATAATTTGGCCCCTGGTCTTATCATAATAACATAAACACATTAACATGTGACAAGTGCCATAGCAGCAATGTGAACAATGTGTTTTGAAAGCACACAGAAAAGAGTGGATATTTCACACTAAGAAGGCGGGGCTCTGAGATGTGTTAGAGCCAGTGCAAAGGCAGGGTGGGATGGTGCTTAGAAAGAAGGAAAAATGCTATCACTTCTACCACCAGATGTTTAAGTTAAAAAAAAAAAAAACAGTAATCATAAACACAGGGTCAGAAGGGTTGAGTTCAAATCTAGGCTGTGACTGGTGTGAATGGGAACATTTTCTGGGTCTCAGCATCCTCATCTATGAAATGGAGATACTACTGACCTGCATGTCTCCCAAGACTTTTGTGGGGGCCAAATTAAGTGTAAGTTAAACATAAGTTATTTATATTTCACACCTAGGCAACCCTGTGGGTCCTTCCCCTTAAAAACTGTCTCATAAAACCTCACCCTTCAGATGAAAATATCCCAATGACATCATTCATATACTCCTTACAGGATAGTAAACATTTAACACAAATGCCCTCAGACTGAAACAGCAAACCTCCTTCTACTGAAATGAATATCTGGGTATAAAAAATATTTGTGTGTGTATATATATATATGGGGGGTATGTATTTTTTAATTTCTTGGGCCCTGGAATGGATTTCTAGTCGATGCTTTTATATTTAGAAACTAGTATCAGATGCAGGTTTCCTCCTGGAAATTTTCTATCAGAAATTACATTCCATTTTACACTATGCTGTCAAGCGACCAACTCAAGAATAGTCTGCAAGTAGCAATCGCTTTGCTCTTATCCCAAGAGACTGGTTATGTATAAGCTATAGATACAACCAAATACATACCCTGGACCCCAAAAGGGTACTATTTTAGTGTAAGCATATATATGAATGCAAACAGCTTAACAGAAAAATAGAAATCCACTTTAAAGTATAATGAGTTTCTGATTTGAAAACACTTAAGGGCCAAACCAGACCCCTCCTTTTAATGAAAGAACACCCTCACTTCCTTTAACGTTGAACAGAGCAGGCTGTATCCCTTGCCTCCCTCTGGCAACCATTCTTTAAACTACATCCAGGCCCTATTTTGTTCAACCTTAAACCCTAAGTCTTAGCTACTCCTCGGATGGAAACCTAAATAAAGTTTCAACGTACGTTTAGGAAGTCAAACGAAGGTCCCAAAGGCAGGAACGGGACGCGGGAGCGAGAAATCCTCGTGCCACTCCCGGCCGCTGGCTATGTGATCTCTCAAGTGTAACTTCCCTTTTCTCCCCCTTACCTTGTACACTTTGCCAAAGGCTCCGTCGCCCAACTCTCCTATAATTTCCCAAAACTCCTCCGGGTTCAGATCCCTCTTCACATGTTCGTACTGCTTCTTCTTCTTATCGCTCCCCAACTTGAAGATCTTACGGAAATTGAAGAAGGACATTTTTCCTCCCCGACAGAGTTCCTCACACTTAAGGATGAAAAACAATAAGAGGCAAAGTTTCTCCTCCCTCTTCTCCCGCGCGAGCCCGGGCGGCGGCGGCGGGCGCGGGCAGTTCGGGCTCCCGCCGCTCCGGCCAGGCGGTCCCGGGGGAAGGCGGGGCGCGACTCCCCCTCCGGCCCACGGGGTGGGGGCGCTGCGCGGGCGGCCCCTCCGCCGAGTCCGGCCCGCGCTCTGCACGGCTAAACGCCTGGCCCCCGGCCGGCCCTCGTGGGGCGGCACCTGCCCCGGCGCTCGTCCCCACCCGGCCCGGCCCGACGGGTCCGAGCGGTCCGGACGCCAGCGGCCGCGGCGGTTAGGCCCTTGTCAAAGCGAGTCTCCAGGGGCGGCGGCTACTCCGGGCTAGGGACGCAGCTGGCGGCTCTGAGGAGAGCAGTCGGCTGGCCGAGCTCTCTCGCTCCGGGCCGGAAACCCCGGGTCTCCTCTGCAGCAGTCCGCTCCCGCGGCTCGAGGCCCGCGCGTCCCCTGGGCTCTGGGGCGCAGCCGCCGCCGCCGCTGCCGCCTCGCTCCCTCCCGAGCCCACGCAGCCTCTGCCTGGAGCGCGCGCCGACGCCGACGCCGCAGCGCGCCCGCCAGCTCCCCCGGCCGCGCGCTCGGCTCTCCGCGCGCTCGCGCGGGGGTGGCACCTCTGGCCCCGCGCACGCGCGTTGAGTCCCGCAAGCTGGCGGCCCAAAGTGGCTTGCGGGCGCCCGCGCCGGGTGCGCTGTGGATCATAGAGCGGGTACCCGGTTGATGGTTCCCCGGGGTTTGCCCTCCAAGCAAACCTTGTTAGTCCACGGCTTTGACGGAGTTGTTCTTTGCGCACTACCCTCTTGGTTGTGCTAGCGGATGTTGCCTCCATTCTGGATCTGGGAAAATGTGTAGAGTGAACGCTGAGCTGCCCCGATCTGGACTTCTTCGCTCTCAAACGAGCCCCAGAACAGAGTGGGAGGGAAGAATATGCGATGGCTGTTTGCTTTGGATCCAGAATTTATCAGCTGTCTGACCTTGGGCGGGTAACCTCTCCGAAGCTCAGTTTCTTCATGATGAAGTCAAGGTCCCGATCTGGGGATTGTGGCGAGGAGTAAAGGCAATGGAAAAAATCCCTGTGCACTGTGCCTGCGCTGGCAAATGCTCGATTTCAGTTCCAGCTGTTGTTAAAAATGTGTACGTAAAATAGACATAAATATATAAAAGTTAAGCCCACTTCTTAAGTGATGACTAGGAAATTCTTTTGAGGGTAATCTGTCTTCTTCTGGGCACTTCCGTAGCCATCATCCTGGCGTCAACCTTCATGATTCCATCTGAACCGCTAAGGCCTTCACTTCCTGACCTGTCTCCTGCCCCCTTGTACAGCACTAGTGGAAGACTACCTACTGTGGGCGCTGGCTGGGATCTATCAGATGGTGCCTTCCCGTCCTCAAAAGAGAGCACTTTCAAGGCAGTCGCTGATTAGTCATCATGATATCCAGGTACTATAACAACATTCCTGGCATTTGATAGGTAAGCCGATCTCTTGAATGAATGAATGTTATCTGGAGCAGAAGACATATTGCTATGTAACCCTACCAAATCATTTTGCCCTCCAGTCCCAAAGTGACATAACAAAACCCGGCTTCTAGTAAGAGGGATGTGGTGATTTTGTTTCTCAAGACTGTATGTTTTGATAGTCTTATAACCTATAATGGAAAAGAATAAAAACGAACATGTATATATAATATATATATGTATACCTGAATCACTTCACTGTACACCTGAAAATAACATTGTAAATAAACTCTATTTTAATAAAAATTGAAACTAAAAAATAAGTTGTTACAAGGAATAAATACAATTAAACTATATACTTTTGTGTTTTGACAAGCATAAACACCTGTGAAAACAATGCCATAGTTGATCTATTTTCAATTGCTATCATTTATGTAGGTGGCTTACATGAAAAGATAATATGTGCTCATTGTGGGAAATGAAGAAATGCACAAAAAATTAAAAAGTGTTATAGTTCTACCATTTAGAGATAACCATTGGCAAGACTTCATCATATTTCCAAACAGAACTTTCTGGCTGTACATAATATTTTTTTACATGGATAAAATTATACTGCCTATAAAGATTTGAAACTTGTGCTTTTCATATTTAAGTGATTAGTGTTTTCTTCCATCATGAGATTATATAATAGATTACTTAACAACTTTTCTCTGTTCTGGATAAAACATTGATAAATATCTTTGTTCACAGATCCTTTTCCACATGTTTGATTATTTCCTTAGGATAAATTACAAGAAGTAGATTTGGGTCCAAGGATATGTCTTTCCTTTTTTGTTCTTTTCAAAATACAAAACCTTTACCATTTTCTCAAAAGCATATTCTTGTTGTAAAATAATTCAAATGATGCAGAAATGTTAAAGAAGGAAGCTGTCTATAATTCTCCCCTCTTGCCTTCACCCTACTTGACTTCACCCCCAACCTAACCAAGGTAAGAGTTAAAACCTTATGAGCAGGAGGGAAATTTGAGTGGTAATAAAAAGGTTCTAAAACTTGATTGTGGTAATGATTGCAAAACTATAGGTATTTACCAAGAATCACTGGATTGTGGACTTACAGTGGGTGAATTTCGGGCTTCCCTGGTGGTTCAGATGGTAAAGAATCTGGCTACAATCCAGGAGAACTAAGTTTGATACCTGAGTTGGGAAGATCCCCTGGAGAAAGGAATTATACCAAAATAAAACTACTTTTAAAAAGTTATGGATGTATGACCAAAAAAATATGACCAAATTATTTTCTGTGCATATGACTTTTAATATAAAATGACATCTGATATGGATCATGGACATCTTTCTATGCCAGCACAAACAGATCCATCTAATCCTTTTTAATAGGGGCATAGAGTCCCAGTATATATAGCTCTACCATCATTTATTTAAGCATTTCCCACTGGCAGGCATTTAGGTGGTTTCCAGTTTTTTTGTCATTATAAGCAATGCTGCAGTGAGCATGCATATACAAGCATCTTTGTGTATTTGTCTGATTACATTTCTTTAAGATAAAGTTCAAGAAGTGGAACTGCCAACTCAAAGAACATAAAGTGCTTTTCCTGTTGCCAAATTGGCCTCCAGAACGACTGTAGAGTGCTGCTCTCTGTTCCTACTAACAATCTATGTATGAGAATGTCAGTTTCACCAGACTTTCAATAGCATCAATCCATCTTTTTAATCTTTGCTGAGACAGTCCAAAATTATCTCTTATTGACATTTCTCTGGTTATTGGTGATGTAACCTTTTGAGGTGTATACTGGCCACTTTTACCTCATATTTTATAAATTGCTTCATCATATCAATGAATAATATCAAATGACATTGTCATTATTGTATAAATGAGATGATCAAGAACCTCACTAATATACTTTGGTGAAATGATCATGGAGAGTTAATAATAGCTTTTATAGCTTTTCCATGAAGCTACACCCACAGAAATTATTTAATAATGCCAAGTGAGACGATATTTTAGACAGATTCCAATTTTCCCAGTAATGACCATAATATCTAGATGTTTGTGTTATCTGTAAAAAAATAGTTTGGCTCCCTTGAATTTTTAATCCTTTAAAAATGAAGCTTAAACAGTGACCATGTGAAAAAAAATACATATATAATACTCATTTAATACCCAATGTTTTGTCACTAACACTCACTAACAGATCGGTAAGAGGAGAACTATCTTCATAATTTACCAGATCACTAATCTTCACTGATAACAGCAGGGATACCGTTGAAAATTAGAAACTGAATATATATGGAGTGCTTACTACATGCTGGGCACTGCGCTGTGTGGTTTACGTGCATCATAGGTTCTGTGATAGCTCCCATGTAAAAGTGAGGAAAACTGAGACAGCATTAAATATAAATAGCATGGTCATGGCCTCAAAGGTAGTAATGGAAGACTCGAAATTGAATGTAGATCTCCGTAAACCAATTCCTTAGTGTTTAACAACTCCATTATGACTCTCTGCTCATCCTTACTGAGCTTCTGTAACAGCTGTCTCACAGGATTGTTGTCTCTGCTATTTCCTTCTCCTTCCCTTTGTAACTTGAAAACATCCTCTAGTCATGGTCTCCACTTTGTGAGCTCCCAAACTCTGTGTGTGTGTGTATAAATATTTTTACATATAAATGTGTATGAGTGTGTGAAAGTGTATGGGTGCTGGGTGTGTTTGTGTATGAGTGTGTGTATGTTATATGTGTATAGGGATGTGTGTGTTTGTATGTGTGAGCATGTAAGTATCTCAGTATGGATCTAAAGGTATGTGTATGTTTCTCCCTCTAGACTGAAAACACTTGGAGGGCAGGGACTGTGTCTTGCTCACCCTTACACCCCCTGCATCTAGCCCAATGTGTCTGTCATATTCCATATATTTTTGTTGAATAATGAATGAAAATAAAATAACTTTATACCTAGTGAAAGCAAACTACATGTCAATTCCTTTTCCCTTCCTTCTTTCTAACTTAAGTGGTAAATGTCCTAAGTTCTTTAAATATTGCTGTAGAGGTTACATGGAAGGAGCAAATTCCTTTCGTGTACAAGTACGCTGTGGTATAAATACATTTTTCTATCCTTGTGGAGTTACAGTTTAGGAAGGAATTTTTTCAGGTATTTTAAGAAAGCAAACTGCAGTTATGACAATTGTTCTCCTGAAATAGAATTTGTGTGTCATTCACGAAAATCCAAACCAGATTTTTGGTCATTTTTCCCTGTTTTAAAACTATACAAATTACCTGATTTAAGCTATTTTTTATTCAAAAAGAGAATCCAAAAATATCCTCCCTTCTCCTTCGTCTCGCTTTCTGCGTCATACGAAACTGTTACACTTACACTCCCACCCTTCCCTCATCCCTAGTCACTTCTGCTGAAATGAATCATAAGCATTTCACAGCATAACAAGTCTTAACATATTCAGATCTTTAGGAAATTAAAAAAAAAAAAAAACTATACAGACATACTTCTTTTACAAGTGGTATGCAAATTCCAGTGTAAAAATCTAGACACCACAACGTCTTTT